ACTAATAAAATTCTCACAAATAAACTATACAACCAATAATCACGAAACTTTACAGAATTCACGAAGACACGTATATGCTTAACATATCAAAACTTCAGGTCATTTGAAGATCTTTAGGTGAGTCATTCAACAATCTTTATACATAATGCAGAAACTGTCAGGAAAATTCCTGTGCATCTGTTTCAAATTTATAAATTCACCAAAAATTCAATTCTGAACGTATTTTCATGAAATCAGCGCCTACAGAAACCTTAGAAAATCGTCCTTCTCGCCTAATTTTTGTCATTAGTTAATTCGAATTATAACTTCACCCTAACAGATGACATGTTAGCGTAGTTCAAAACTGGAAAATTGTCAACTGTAAATTTATGAATGCTAACAATATACACCTCAAAAAGTACACCTCAAAATTTATTTATCCTTATGCATTCTAAACATTCAACATTAAGTTCCATGTAGGTGCAAAACAATTAATACCATATCACAAAAGTAAAATATAAAATATCAATTTATCAAGTTTAAACACCTTGAGCAATCAAAAGATCATTCGTATCTTGAGTATCTTATATATTGCAATATGCCACTTTTGATTCAAAACAAAATCAGTGAACCTTAATCAAAAGTGCAGTTTGATCCATGCAACTCATTCAATCAAAAATTAACAATAATACAATATTCTTAAACATGATTTAAACTTCATATTGCATGACCTTACAAAACAGCCAATTTATTTTATGATGAACACAACCTTGTGGATTAATCCAACTTTACATGATTCAATCCATCAAATACGTACGAGTTAATACTTTTAACACGTGTGGATCAGTCCAACTGTATATGGTTTAATCCAAATCACCTACGAATCAATCCTTTTACATGTGAAGTTGCATTGATGCTACAAAACATTCACTTCAATGCATACAAAAGGCAACCAAGTCTCAAACATGTCCATACATAAACAAACAATATAGCCAAGCAAGAAAGTTCCAAAATAGCTCACGTTTCCCTTTATGTGATCAACCAAATTTATCTTTCCTTGAGTCATGAAAACAACTTTTATGACTATTTAAGACCACTATTAATAAATTATTATCAGCAACTCAAGCATGTGACATTTATCAAAACCGATAAATAGGACATGTATCATGTTACAATCCATATAACAAAACAAAACCGTATATGCGCCTAATGGAGTTAAGGTTCATCACGACATTCCGAAAGGTTTTTAAAACACAAACATATCTGAATAAGTTGTCCCATAGTGCTTAAAAATATCTGTATATTATTGATTCACACCTGTGGGTTGAGAATCAAACATGTTTTTAGTGATCACCAAAAGAGTTGATATATGAGTTTCTTTCGTAGGTTAAATTCTCACATCTGTGGATGGAGAGAAATTCCTATTAATTCACATATGTTGTCTTTTGCATCACTCCACCATGAATATACATGGCCAAATTGTCCCCAAAATCTTTACTTAAATACGTTAATTTATACCTGTGGGTGTAAATTACCATATTCCAAAATCCCAGACAATAAACTGCATAAACTTCCTGTGCAAGAAAACTCACATCTGTGGATATAGAGAAGACTTGCTAGTCTATGCAGTATGCTATCCAGATTGTTCCATCATATTGTTATCAATCTGTACAATTCCCATCTGTGGATGGAGAATAATACAGAAGGCTACCAATATAGATGCAATTATTGACCAAACTATCGAGTTTAAAACCTTCTCATACAAATTGAGCAGCTGTGGCTCACTCAATTTGCATAACAGATTCCAAATCATTAATCAAAAGCCTTTTACAGCATGATCGAGTAGTAATAACCTTATGCCCTTGATCATACCTTATCAAATAAGATATGCAATTTGTTTAATAGTACATGCTTCCATGACTAATGATCAATTACATGCGAGCATGATATTATGAAACAAGTAGCCTTATAAGCCAATTCTTGAACATGCAATTATTCTGGTTTTCAATATATTTTGTGTTGTGACATTAAATTCTCTGTCATGCTTGGAGAAGATAATTGCCTCAAGCTTTGAATATGTACGCATGTATTCTTTATGCTTATGAAAAACTATCCGCAAAACATAATGATATTCAAATAACAATAACTTCACAGTGAAATATGGCACAGGTCTTTGTTCATAAAACTTGCCAATTATGCAGGATAAAACTAATTCACAGTGAATAATTCAAACTAGTCCTTATTAATTGCAACATAAATTTATGCTTGTCTTTCTTTAGCAATTTCTTTAAAACATGTCACAACAATATGATAACAACAGCAGTTTGCCCATTCTTTCAGAAAACTTTAGTAAATTCAATCGTAGCCATTAAAACTGAAATATAAAACTTGAAAGCATGCCATGGTTTATAGTTCATTCAAAAGCAGCGGAAATTTATGCAACTAACTCAATTTCAATAAATAAATAAATAAAAACATCATACCCCAAAATCAAATATGGAGCCTTAGGAAGCAGTAGAAGGGAATTGATCCAAGGTCAAACACCATTCATGATCCATGCTTTGCATCTGGCTATCGACATGGGCAAGAAACAAGTTTGAACCTGAGATCTTGCGGATTGTACACGGAACAGGCAATGAATCCCTGCACGGCGGATTTTATCCTCTAGGTGCAAATTGTAAACTATAATGACTGCACATGATAGAACACACATCTTTTGTCTTCCATTAGAGTTGTCAAATATCAAGAATATACAAGAGCACATCTCCTCAATCCGATCCCTTCATACACTCATTCTAGATGGGGTGAATTCTTTTGTGTGGGTTGGCTTGATCGGTTGAGCAGGGGCACTTGTATTTATATGCATCTTCCTAAGAGTCTTGCCCATCAAGAAACTCTTAAGAAGTCTTTATTGCAATAGGTTTGTAACTTCTAATCCACAATTAAATAGGAATCCTTTTAGCTCTTATATTAGCCTTAAAACACTAACTTAAATGGAGCTGCAGGTTTAGTTGCACTCGAACTCCTAATTGATATCAAGTCTTAGAATCCTTTGATGATTATAAGACCACACTTTAATGGGTTAGACATCTATATGTCTAACATTTGGCAAAATTGCAAGGACTTGCGTTACCGTGGCTGGAGGAGGAAGAGGAGGCTAGAAATCAATGTGATACACTCACAAATAATCAGGGCTGCAATTTTAATTGCAGTGCGTGATTAGAATTTAATATATATGTATGTCACCATGAATCTTGAGACTATAATAAATAAAGTCTTGATTCTTATTCGACTATGTAGTAAATTACATCAAGAATAATATATGGCGCTCACTTATTGAGGGTGTATCAAGTTTTCTTTTTGTTTTCTTTTCCATAGTTAACACTCTCCAACCCAAAAATAAATAAAAACTTAGAGGTCTCGTGTTCGAATCCCTCTTCCCGATAACATTATTATCTCCCAGAAAAGAAAGTTACCAAAACACATGATGTCCACTCCATCCATTGATTATTTTCTGGTGATTATGAACATTATGGTAGTTGCTTTCTCCTTTTTCCGGTCTCTCTGGTCTGTAAAGTTGTCTGAGAAGTGGGGTAATTTGGTGTAAAGTTGTCTGAGAAGTGGGGTAATTCGGCAGCACTTCATGTGGTGGGGAAGAGAGATTTAACCCTTCCCCAAAGTTGTTCTTTTGATATCCCTGTGAACTTACAAAATCTTAAGTTTAGTTCTTAATTAATGAAAGATTAGTCCTGTGCTGAGCATTTCATTACGTTTCACTTCTTAATTACCACTAAATTATATAAATCTTAATCTTAATTTGTAAGAATTTAGCTACTGCGAATATTCTCTTGCTATAGATTTCCTATGTTTTTGCTTTTACTATCAGTATTATTACTTTTACTACTATTATTATTATTATAAAGTAATGTTTTAACTCCTTTAATCTACGGGAAAAGAAATTAAACTCGCGGGCGCCCCAGGAGTGCAGTTTTCGATTTCCTATCACTTGATTTGAAAATCTCAAGAGGGGTAATGCATGGTGACTCAGTGTGTCAATAATGGGGCACGATTTGTAAATGTAAAGCCCAAACTTTAGGGTAAAAGTAGCACTAAACAGCAAAATTGAGATCCTTGATATATTTTCCTCCAACCCCAAGCGCCCAAATATCCAGAAACAGCTCTCGATCCTTGCTTTGCTTGACATATAGATATAGTTTGCATGCGCATGCTGGGTGCATGCTTGAACACGGTGTCAGATATATCCACACACCCACACACACAACACAACAAACACTTTTATGACCACTGATCATTAGATTTAGCTGCATTGCATGACTATATATATTTACAAGTGCTCAATTTTCAAACAGGCCACTAGGACATCATGGTCATCATCACCTTTAAAGCTTAATTTGTGGAGCTTCATAAAGTTGCAATTGAATGTACCAATCTCATGATGAACGAACACCGGCCATTGTAGAGTGAGCTGTCTTTGTAGACTCACGAGTGCCATATTTTTGTGAGGACGTCGAGCATTTCTTCATATTCTCACAATTTTATTTGGAAACCGAAATGATCGATAATCTCAAGTAAGTATAAATCTGTACAAGCGAGTACAATTCTCTGTAACTACTTTTTTCTTTGTTCTGCTTTTTGGCTGTACACGTAAAATCTATGAATTGCTGCCACCCAATTGTTTCTGATGTCAGCGCATTGTATATACGGCTCTATCCAATCCAATTCAGATATCTTCACGTCCACACCAAATTAACAAGAAAGGCATTTGCCCTTGGCCAAAATCCAGAGATGCTTAAAACTGACTGTATCTCTGTATCCCAAAATTAGTTTTCTTAGTTATACGGATTCAAAACATAAAAACTTGTCGTTTTAATTTGATCTAACAAAAGCAAGAACAGAGGTTGATTTTATTAGCGTTCGAATTTTTGTCTAGTACATTGATATGTTTTTTTTTTCCTTTTCATGCAAGCAAGCAAGTAATTAGACCAAGACAACACTTGAACTTGAGCATACTTGTTTTTTTTTCCTTCGTAGAATTAAAATGATGATACAAACATCAAATTAATTAAGGTGCATAATTATTTTATATCCTCTGCAGAATGAGATGGCAGATGCATATTTAAATCTTATTGCACTGCCTTTGTTAGTTGAGTAGCAGGGAAATGAAGAGTAACAAAAAGAGTTGTAATGTATCCCTATAATTAAGGGATCCACTTTGGATCCCTTGGACTAAAGAAACAGGCCTTGACATTAGAATCAAGCAGCTTAAGCGCCTTATTAGACTTGATGCACCTTGGAGTTTTGTACTGGTTGATTGAACCCCCTTGGCTAATGAAATAGTCCATTAATTCCTCAAACGTGCCAGGCTCCACCACACGTATCTCAAGCGGGCCCACCGACTTGTCGTGTGCGCGGCATCGACGGTAGATGTAATCAAGCTCCTCTTCCACTGCAATGCAGCATTCTTGGAGCACCTTATCCACATCAAGTGTTGAAGAGTCCAAATCCACCACTGATGATCCATGGTGTATGATCTCCCAATACAAGACGTAGTGACCGGGCAAATGTGACGTGTCCGCATAGCTAGTGTACTCCACAAGCAAAGCATTGAAGGGCTCTAGCAATTTTTTGGCTACACTTATGCTTTTGTGCAAGTCCTCTTCATTGGTTTTGTCATTGTCGATGCTGAGAACAACATTCCTCCTACAAATGAACCTAAATTGTGGCGCTTCGTTGTGAAATCCAGTCACTTGGAGCACATCACCAATTCGATAACGATATAATCCTGATTAAATCCAAATCCAAATCCAAATCAATCAATCTTTGAAAAATTAAAACTACCTAGTGCTAGAAATATATATATATCTTACCAGCGAAAGTGGTAACCACCAATTCATAATAGCAGCCAAGCCTCACTTGCACCAAATCAACAAGCTTATCATTACGCACCTCCTCGTCCTCATCTATGTCCATGAGCCGTGTCCCGTTCTCTCCCAATGGTATGAATTCAAAATATCCCATATTGGGCAAAAGGGTAAACGCCACGTCGGCAGGGTCACAGAGGGGCTCCAAGTTGACACCAAAGTAGCACTCTGAGGAAGCATACATGGTGCAAACTAAGGGAAGTTTTCCATCGCTATAGTACTCTAAAGCCGGTATATATTGTGCCATGGACCCCGTGACCACAGCCTCAATGTACTTGGCTTTAGGCCAAAGCTGGCACAGAATTCCCTTCCACGATGTTTGGCTACAAATGTCCTTAATCTCATCAGCTAAACTAGCATTAGGCAGAGAAAGCAGGGGAGCCATCGATAAACGGCATTCGGGGTCTGTGATAAAAGGGTCTAATTGTCCAGTACGTATGTCATTGCAAAAATTGACCCAATTACGTTCAAGGAACGAAATCGCTCGTAGGAAAGCGGATGCAAAGACGGCCCCGAGCCGCAGGACGTGGTGGCGGTGGACAAGGCCTGATAAGAGCTGGCAATACATGCTTTGGTTGCTATCATTGCAAAGAATGGTCTGGTCAGGGCTTGTGCCATTGTTGAAAGGGTCGAGCCCCCGGCACTTGAAGTGGCTGCTCTTGTAGTAGCTGGTAAGCACCGTTCGAGCTGGCAAACCACAAGGTGTTGACATTTCTGCCTTCACAAAGTAGAGGAACATAGCCTTGCCCTCGTCTAGACCAGGGACATACCTGCAATATTTACAACATCGAACACATGGGAATAATTGTAATCAAAATCATGACCAGCTTACAGTTCTTGCCCTTGACAACTATCAATATATTATACAAGAGATAGTCTGAACTAATCTAAATTAATCTAATCTACAAAAAGAGAAATTCAAACTGTGCAAGGAGATGGGCTTACTGCCTGACCAATTGACCTTAACACACATTTGCATCAACATATTAACTTTAATCTTTCGGTTAGTGGCTTGCGCATCAAAATGGAAGAGGATAACATTTTTAGGCTAATAGCCTTGAAGAGGATAACATTTTTAGGCTAATAGGCTTGAAGAGGATAACATGTCCCATCATCAGGCCATGTTCTCAACTGTACACAATCAAGCACAGTGGTTGGATAAGGAAGATTAGCTAAACTTTTTAACAGTAGGGATAATTTATTATCACTGGCAAAGAATTTGGTCAAAAGAAGGGTAAAGGAGGCTATCTTTACTTAAAACGAATATATGCACAAATATTGTGGTTCCCTCCTAGAGGGGATGTATTCATGTTCATAGTAATGCATGAGATGTGAATGAAGAGAGAAGTTGTAATTAATTAACTGGTTCATAATTGGCATAATGAGATTATATAGAAAGGTTCGACGATCCAGATCTTCTGCGATCGATGGCATCATCTTAGGCTTTCTGCCTGAAGTTCCTGAGCTGCAAATGCCATAAGCAAAGTACATCAAAATTGATCACATGTAAAAACAAGTAAAGAACCCATCAAAGAGGAACAGAGGAAAAACAGAGATACCTGCATAACATTTCAGTTATTGGGTGGCCAGTAATGAGAGAAGAGTCTTCACCATTAGCAATTCTTTGGATGTAAGGCTGAATGGCCTTGTAAGTAATGACTGGGACACATTGCTTAAAAGCTGATACATCTTTTGATCCCTTCATGTACTTACTCAAATACTCGGTTTTCGAATTTCGTGTTAAGATCTCTTTTAGAAATTTGAACTGAACTTTATCAGCCTTGGCTGTGAGCCTCTCAATCTCCTTCAATGCCTCCTCACCTTTGTACTCTAGTTTCTTCCCATCCATGCTGTTAGTAATTAATTATAATCAAGGAAGCAGAAGAAACTAGAGTAGAAGAAAACTCTAGTTTTAGAAACCAATAGGAGGGTCTATATATAGAGTTTGGCTGTGTTAGATGATTTTCACAGGTGCATTGCATTTCTAATTCTCTTCTTTTCTTTTTTCTTTCTTTTTCTTTCCACATCACTGCAACCTAATTGGGAACAGTTGGTGCTGACGACATCCAAAATGTGGCCCCTACATACGATATGCAGAAATCTGAACAATCTGGCCCCCACGTATGATTTGTAGAAATTGTAATTATATATAATTTAATTAAGCATGCATCAGATATAGCAATTTGTCTGCATGGAATGCATGATGTGTTTATGATGGTTCTACTATTATTCATTTCCTTTGTATGAGAATTTTAAACAATACATGCATGATTTTCAAGTTAGGAAATTCTTAACTGAAGAACTTGAATAGTTCCCCCCCATGTTTGTTTAATCATGTGGCAAACTGTTGCTTGAGAAATTATTAATCACTACTTTGTCAGATGTAAAATAATGAAATTTGGGATGATTTTCTTGCCCAGTGCTTCATAGAACATGATCATGATGCATCATCCTCATTTTTTGGATAAGGCAATTGGAGAGGGCGGGTCTATGGAGATTAAGTCCTTCATACATATAACAGAGTGATGGTGATTAAAAGCACATAATCATGCGTATACTTTTAAATTTGACAACAGGACAATGAGACGTACATTTTCAAATACTGATTGATTTTGTTTACAACACTGAGATCACAAGTATCTGGTTCTTACATCATGGATTGTCCACATGCTAGAGAGAGAGAGAGAGAGAGAGAGAGAGAGTTTCTTTTTGCTCTTCTTGTGTCAATCAAAGCGTGCGTGCGTAGGGAGAGCTCAAAAACCAGTAACTTTACTTCTCGGAGTATCCACTCCATTCTA